TTGGATTTGCATTGTGAACTATGTATATACTACTGTAATGTATATACATATTGTATACTGTATATATTGTATACACAGTAAATCATCAATTAACATCATATAATTTAAAATAGCATTAAATGATGTGATGAAGATGTGGGAAAAATAGGCCTATATTCCAAACACCTTCAAATTTGCCAAAAAAAAAATCATTTTAAAAATACTCTTGTGTCAAAAATAGTTTCTTACTTTAGATTCTATTTTTCATTGCTTGTCAATATGGAAATATGTAGAGAGGGTTGATGTGGAACTACTGGACCAAGGTAGATGGCTATGGTTCAAGTTGATGTAGATGCAGAGTTCTTAATATGTATCTCTGGTTTGTTGTACCAGACAGTACTTTTACATTTTGGTAATTTAAGTGCTTGATGGTGTATGCTTACAGCAAAACCCTGTCTTACCAGCATTAAACACTTGCTGTGGACGGTAACTGTTCTTAGAAATAACATATGCAAAGTTACCAGGGTAAATTTTCTGCAGCAGTGTGTTCAGCTGACACACTTGCCACTAAATATTATGAAGCTGATTGCCCCCTTTTTTTTTTTTAGTTTTCAAATCATCCAGCACTAAATGTATGTTGTTGTGAAGGCTCTCCTTCCATCTCATACTCTTCTTAAAAGTAGGATAGGGCTTTGTGCCTTGTAGTCTGGCCATAGTAGGGCACCTTATCTTCTTTCCTTATCCCATACATTCTGTAGCTTTTCTATCTTATTTAGTTGTATTGACCTGTTTATTCTTCTTCAGCAGGTCACAATATACACTAGTCAGTGCAAAAGCTCTTATTTTTTCTCTTGTTGTCTCTTAATGGTATGAATGGATGATTCTGTAAGATTAAAAGTGTGAGCAGTTTCTGTCATGTACATTGCTATGAATACATCAAACTTTTGCTTCTTTGGATACCATTAAAGCTTCATGCTGGTTTGTCTCAGTACTGTATGGTACTTCTACTTTTGCTAGTCCTCTTAGGTACCAGGATCAACAATTTCAATGTTGGGACCCTAAAATTAGAAGTGCTGATAGTGTCAGTGTTTTTCAGAATAAAAGTTAATTTTTCTCCTGAAATGGTATGGAATCTTTTTTCTGAAGGTAATGACACCAGAAATGCGAAATTTGTTAGAAAACTCGTGTAATTACACAGGTACAGGTCAGCCATCACTAATCCGGCAGTTAGTTATCTGGTTCCATCAGTAATCCAGCACAAATTTTGGCTAGCATAATTTCAAATTTCATCATTATATTGACTCAAATTTCAGCATTATACTGACTTAGAAATTGTGCAGATGGGTGTAAATCCACAGCAGCAAGCCAATGGAGGAGAAAGCAGTGATGAAAATGAGGAAGATGTAGCAGAAAGAGTCTCTGTTGATAGGTTAATTAAGTATATTCTAACCTGACCACTCTAATCCGGCAAACTCACTAATCCAGCACACTACAGGTCCCAGTGATGCCAGATTAGTGATGGCCGACCTGTACAAAGTTAGCAACCTGGGTGTCATTTACACATTGGCGATTTCACCCACTTTGAGCTCTGTTTTAATCCAGTTCCATTCCTCCACCAGATTCTTGGCTATTTTGCTAGTATCCCTTCCATTCTATTAAATGAGCACAAGAAACTGCTCATTCAGTTATCAGAATGGACAGAAGTTGTTATTTTGGCAAATTTTTTGCAAAATTCAACAAATTCTGTTTAAAAATAATCCTAAAAAATGCTACATGCATTCCAGGAACTAAAACAACCTATCCTCTCTTCATTAATCATATTCCCACTTGCCCTCACTTTGAATCCATCATACAAAAATAATAGAAGTTTTGCTCTAATTCTCAGATAAAATATAACCAGGAATGATTGGTCATAGTTTAAGACGTCCCATTAATTTAAGCAGGCCTACTAATGAAAAGCTCATAAAACAGACCAGGGGGTATAGGGCTTTATCTTTCCTATGGAAAATCGTCAGTAATCAAATATGTCAGCTATTTGAGCCCCTATTTAAAACCACTTCCAATCCTGATATTGACCAAAATCATCTTTATTTCAGTAGTATGTCTTCCATTCTATCATTTGATACCAAGAAACAGCCAATAAAACCATAACTTTCCAAGAGATCACAGTGCTGTTTTAAACCAAACATCAGGTCAGAGGTTTGCCTTTCCCATCATGCTCCATGTAAGGCAGAATTATTTTTGCTGTGCAACTCGCCACACAGACCCAGTCTCTCATGTCTAGGCCAAAATTGACTGCTCGTAGCATATATGAGGGCACTGTGCTTAGACAGAGCTACATAAGTAACACTGGCATTAACATAGATATATGTAAGAGACATTGAAAGGGCTAATATCCAGCAATGAGGTGATGAAAAGATGTAAAATCATTTAATAAATAGCCACTACCACATGCAACTCTTCCAGAAAGTAACTATGCATCATAGGTAGCAATGCAGCAAGGGAACAAGCTGTGCCTCTCTAAAAACTCAGCAAGTCACAAGGGAACAAACCTAAAATGCAAAACTACAATGAATTTGCTCAAATTCAATCCCTTCCCATTTTCTGGGGTATAATAGAATGTTTTCATGCACCTGGCTCTGGTGGCCTGGTGGTTAACGCTCTCGCTTCACACGGCGAGGGCCTGGGTTCGATTCCCAGCCAGAGTAGAAACATTGGACGTGTTTCTTTCCACCTGTTGTCTATGTTCCCCATCAGTAAAATGGGTACCTGGGTGTTAGTCGACTGGTGTGGGTCGCATCCTGGGACACTGACCTAAGGAGGCCTGGTCACAGACCGGGCCGCGGGGGCGTTGACCCCCGGAACTCTCTCCAGGTAAACTCCAGGTAAACCATGGTTTTTTTTTTTTAATACCATTAAGACAAAATAGAGCAGTCTTATTTTGCATTAGAGTAAATAATATTTCTTGCCTTAAATTCTAGTTGTTGGTGTATGTGAATGATTTTGAAAAAAGTGGAGAAGGATGGTGTGGTCCTACTGGGCTGAGGCAGAAGGTTGTGGATTGTTTGCTGAGGCAGATGGCTGAGGTTCTTGCACTTGTATTGGTGATTGCATTGGAATACTGAGGAATTTTGTGATGTGTGTCTGATCTGTTTTACCCTGCAATACCTTATAAGTACATTTCTAGACCCTGTTTCAGAACAATGCTTCTAGATTTGTCAAGGTCCTCTAAAATGAAAGTTTATAATGTTACCAAGAGTATGTAACTGCTCACATAACTGTTGGTATTAATTGTTTTTCTTCAGGTTCTTCTTCCTCATCTCTGCCTGTTATATGCCTCAATTGTATCTGGAAATTGAACTTGCCAACAATTTCTCTGAACTTCTTTTTTTTACAAGCTCACTCATCTCTTCCTCTGTATTCTCCAAACCCTTACCTGTCAATCTCTTTGCCAGTAGAGCAGTTTCCTGCACCTGGCATCTTCTTCCAGTAAAGACTTGTCAATATTAAGTGCTTGCTGTGGCTTGTAGCTACCCTCGGAAATGATTTCTTGCAAATTCAGCAGGGAAATTTCCTTCAGTGATGTGGTCAACTGAAGTGCTTTTACCAGAAAACTTAAAATTATGTAGCCGTTTGCACAATTTGAACTTATGGAGCCAGCCTTTACTAATGCACTGATGTTCAGGCGTTCTTTCCTCATTGCACGCTTGTTTTATATTATACTCTTAAGTCTTTTTTCCTTAAGATAAAATTAAATGGTGCACCTTTCTTAGTCATCCACTCGATCCTTTGTTCAATAATTTTTCCAGGTCACAACCTGGGTTACTATTGCACAAGCTTGTATCTTTACCTCATTCTTCCTAATTGTATTAATTGATGCCCCATTCGGGCCATAGGCTTGAACTGTCTCCATTGCATGTGCACTACTCTTAACCTTACCTGATACAGCCTCTCCTCACTTAACGACGGAGTTCTATTGCTAAGACCACGTCGGTAAATGAATTCATTGTTAAGTGAGGAGCATACTATAATGGTAGTGGGTTTGTGTCAACCATCTTTCATATTGTTTTAATGTCACCTTTGCACCATTTATAACATTTCTGGTATATTTTTAAATGTTTATGCAGTAGTGTACTGTATATTGTAAAAACAGAATGGAATCAGCTCTAATATACATTATTTAGGTATGAATCTGGTCAGAGAGCCTGTCATAAGTCTGAGGCATCGGTAAATGAGTATGTGGCTAAGTGAGGAGAGGCTGTACCTTTATTCTCTTCAAGACTCGAATATACTTTCACGCTAATGCCTCTTGGCACTTCCAGGATCACTCACATTCCTCTTGGGTGCCATAGTTACTATCCAGAGACAAGATGGATAATAAAAATATAAAAAAAATTGATTCACTAACAGAGGCTGAGTATGGTATTCAATGCAAATGCATGTAGAAACAGAAACAAGGAAGGTTGGGCACATTAAGTAGTCCTTTACTCAGTGTTACATGATACATACAACATGTTCAAATGTCACAGTTTCTTAATGGTTTTAATGTGCAAGTGTTAATAATTTGCATGTTAATTGACAGTATAGTAGTATGTGTATATATAATGCATACAAAAACATACGTGCATATACATGGTATATACTGTATATATAAATGTACAGGTATTTTAATGTAGTCAGACTCTGGTTTACTGTTATAATATACAGTAATAATTAATAGCTAATACATAGCTAATGTTTTTCCTTGATTTTATATTTTTATTTCACTGTTGAACGTAATTATTCTAGTAAATTCTGGAGCAGTACAGTATTAATATGCTTACAAGCCTTGTCACCAGTCTAAAAGACTTCTTTCATACTTACTCTGTGTTTATTGTTTTGCAGGTAAATAGGGTGTGAATTGTTATTGAAATAAACCTGTAAAATTTAATGATGAGAATTCCAGGTAATAACTTATTTTAAGTATGTATTATGTTAAAAGCAGTTTTAAGGACTTCTACTAATTAAAGCCCATTTTTCAGGCTGCCGAGTGTGTGGGTGTGTGTGCGTGAGGGTCACGTCGCCACCCTGGAGGCGGAGCCAGCAAGTCTCGGCTGGAAGGGCCCCCCAGGACCCCCCTCAGAGCCACACGGTCCTCCCTCTGTTGGTCCCACGGGGTTCCCTAACCCTGCCACACCAAATACCTTTTCTGGGCCGTCCACTCCAACATTTAACCCTCCTGGTCCCACACTGAACCGACCCTCCCCGGGTCCTCCAACTGGTCCTCAAGGCCCTGCCTCGAATCCTAGCAATTTTACTACGGGCCCAGGTGGCCCACAACCCTTCAACACGCCTCCCAACAGTTTTTCGGGGCCGCCCACCTCAGGCCCCCCCTCGGTTCCTTTTCCGGGCTCCCCTGCACCTTCAAATGCCTCCACTCCTGGTCCGGGAGGTCCCTCTCCCTTCCCTGGTGCCCCTGGCGGAGGCCCTCCTACAAGTATGGCAGCAGCCAACATGGCTGGACCAGGCCCATCACCAATGCCTTTTCCCTGTTCCTCTAACTACAGTAGTCCCACACCCTCGGCACCCCACATGAATGGCCCTAACACTACCATGGGCATGTTGGGACAGCAACAGGCTCAACTAATTAATGGTCCACCTGGTCATCCTGGACCATTCCCAGGCCATGGAGGTCCAGGATTTACGGGTCCTGGAGGACCATTTGGCCCTGGTGGTCCACCGTTTGGACCAGGGGGTCCACCTGGGGGCCCTCCCATGCATGGTCCTATGCATGGTCCCATGCATGGACCTGGCCCACACCCAATGATGGGGCAGCTTGGCCCTATGGACCGGATAGATCAAGGGTAAGTCAATATTCATTTTCTTGATAATATTTTCTTTTCAGTGGCAACTGTGTTGAATAATCATTATGTGGACATTACTAAATTAACTTTCTTTTGATTTGAATTCCAAATTCCTAAAATTTTGAAAAATGTTTGCCTTTGAATTTTTTTACGTGAGCAAAATAAGCTGCAGCCCCTCAAGTCTTGAATTATTGTTATTACTGTACTTTATTTCTTTGTTTAATACACTGGGCACCTCTAATTGAGGTAGACTGACCCACAAATGGAAATGCACTCACCAATGGTCTTTGAATAGCTTTCTTAATAGAAGTGTGAGGACACCACAGTTCAGATGACCCTCCACACTGCAATATCCTCACTCCTTCAGATTGCAAGCACCGCACTTCCCATGTCTGACTCTTTGTTATTCTAATGAGCTGTGTGTATTGTACAGCATTAAACAATAGACAAAGGTTTGTATAGGTGAAGAGAGTGCCGGGGGGGAGAGAGAAGCATTGATACAGTAGCAAAGTTTCATTTAAGAAATTTAATTTCTAGGCCTACTCTTAAGTAATAATTAAAATTTAATGATGGTGTATAGTTCTTATCTCTACAGGGAAGTGGAAAAGAATTCTTCCTCCATAAGCCATGCGTGTCTTAATAGGTGACTAAAATGCCAGGATATTTTAGTCATAAGTAATCCCTTCTCCTGTATAAATTACTAAATTTAAAAAGAGAAACTTTCATTTTTTCTCTTAGGTCACTCTGCCTCAGTGGGATATGGCCTGGTTCGTTGGAAAAAAAATATATAGTTCTTATAAACTATCAAAAGCTGTATGTAATTGGGTCTCTCCAAATTAGCTATTTTATTCCCCAATATACAGTATACAATGCTGCTGCCTACTACTATTATTGGTCCATACCTCACTTATTGAATTTGTTCCTGGGAATACCTGATTAACCAAACTGTGAGGGTTATTTGGATCAGTGGCCACCAACAGCAATAGCCAAGTTGAACATGCCATCAAAAGGAAAGCCAAATTCCAGGTGAGGCTGCAAAGGTAGAACAATTCTGGAAATCAGTTACATGTATATCACAGTGGTTCTACTGCAGCCATCCATCTCAAAATAGGTATCATGAGAAAAGACAGCTCTCAGAATCATCACCAACTCAGATTTTAGACAACACATTATGCCCTTATTCAGATCCCTAAACCTACTAACTAATAATGCTGTACATACTGCTGTTTACACTGTAATGCTGATGCTAATCTAAGACACTTCCAGGAAAATCATAACACACAGGCATCACACCAGGTATATAAACCACTTCAATATTCCTCATGTTCTCCTGAACCTCTCTAGAAATTTGATGTCAAAAAAAAAGGACGAAAAATGTGGAATAACTTGCTAGATGCGTTTAAGACTGCACCTTAATGAATTCCAACAAAATATGAAAAAAAAATTGTGCTTTACGTACTGTATTTCTCTGAAACTCCTTTAAATATATCATTGTGCAGATACCCTTTACCCACTGTGCATATTTCCAAGTTTTTTACACACTGGCGCCTTTACTCACGATATGACTAGTAGGAGAAGTTTTTCACTCTCTTGCATTATAATCTTCTCCAGAGTTGTGATCTGCAGGCAGTCCTGCAGTTCCGTAACTACTTAAACTGGCATTAAACTTTTACAACGCTTCCAAGTTATAAATTATACCTTGCTGTGTGACCCTTACAGGTGTAATGCTCCTCATAGAAATATAATAATAATGTAAATCATATTATGTTCCTGAATTTCTTAAAATTTAATCATATCTAGAACCATTATTACATCTTTGCTTTTTTAATTCTCTTGAAATTCATTTTCAGTTGTAAGTTATATTTTCATTTAGTGTCTCACTAAATGTTTAATTTTCACTAAAATTTGTATTGCAATATTATGTAAATCTGTACTATGTATGTACATTTATATACATCTGTCCAATATTTTTTTATTTGTATATTGTTAACATTATCCCAAAGATTGCCAGAAATGATATGCATAGCTCTGGGTGTTTGCTTGTGGAAAATATACACTATTGACCTGCCTTTGTGACACTATGCTAACTTCTTGGGAAGTATGGTTAATATTATCAAAATTTTAGGCACAAAACAGAAGGTAGACTTTCCTGGGTAATATTTTTGTGGAGTTGAAATCCACATACAGTACATTAAAAGTTTCTTTGTGACCAAAGACATAGTCATAGTAGAGGCTTTCCTTAAGCCATGTTTTCTCTTAGTATTTGTGTTTGAGTAAGACAAGACCACATTTAAGAATAGCAACCTGTTCATATAATGTCTATATAAGTGGTAATTCATTCATGCACGAACCACCTTTTTGACCAGTAAAATCTGTGTTTACATTTATGCACACGAACACTCTAGCTTCCTCTAGTGTTTGTATCTGACACTTCTTAGGCACACTACCATTCACCCTTCCTTTGTAAAAATGATCACTTTTTAACACTGAGAATTTATCATTTGTGGCCTTTCAACTTGTGCTTTCCTCCTGGAGAACAGTGGTTTACATACATTCTACTTTGCCCAGAGACCTTGTTCATTGTTCTTAGCTGAACCTCTGGTACTTAAACTTCCAAAGTGTTATTGATAATATTGTGTCTCACATGCCACTTAAACATACTTATTTCAGACACACATATACATACTTGGAAAAGGGGCTAGATGTACATGTCCTCAGTGTTTTTTTTTTTCCTCTCCATCACTGCCATCCACTTCTTATCTAATGGTTAATGATTATTCAACTGTGTATACTTTTCAAGTCAGTTCCACACCCTAACCTTGAGCCAGCAAAAAGTTACTAGTAAATTGCCCGAGGGAGTCATAGACAAATGCATTGTACAAGAATGTTCAGTTTGTAATGCATTTATGGACAAGTACTGCATATTGACAATCAGTATTCTGGTGAGGTCAGTGAAATTTCAGCACTCATGCCTGAGTATTCACAATGATTACCCATCTTCAATTTCAGTCCTGAGCACAAGGGAAGTTTTTCATCCCGGCCAGCCTTTTCAGAAACTGTTACTTAATATTTAATCCTGTCTTCACTAGGAATATGAAATTACCTTTTATGAGTGGTCCTTTTGTGAAGTAAGTGTCTGCTGGCGTTACCTTTGGTTTTCGCCCAACACACAGACATACCTCAGGGGTCAGTTCTCGGATCCCTTCTGTTTAATATTCTCGTGTTAGACCTAAGGTCCTGTTCTGGGACACACTCTCTTGTGTATGCAGATGGTGTAGCACCGATGGAAAGTGTGGCTCAATTCAAAGTTCAGGAGGCGCTGACAAGTGTGACCTCTTGGGCAACAGAATTGGACCTTCTAGTCATTGTGGCTAATGCTTCCTCATGCTTTTTACTGGATGTCGTATTCCCTTTGGTTTCTCTCACTCCCACTCTTCTCCTGTTGGGAGAGGAGTGGGTGTCACTTATGATGCACTGTGTCTAACATGGAGGAGGCAAGTCTCTGCCTTGTGTCTGTCTTGTGCTTGTTGAGTCAAGCTTGTGCAATGTGTTTCTGGCATAACATGGGGAGCTGATCATGACTACCACCTCCTTTTATATAAGGCAGCTGTTTGCAGTAAGCTCACATATGCTGTCGAGATGTAAAGCTCTGTTTTTTGCCCCTACACCATCATGATGTCCTCCAGAATGTAGCCCTCTTAGTGTGTCTGGCAGCTTTTTCCCTCTACCCGACCTGTAGCACTTAACTGAGACAAGTGTCTCTCAAGTTGCTAGCACAGTGGGCATGAGGCTGTCTTCAGCATCATCTCTCATTGTCCTGGAGTGCCCTCCTCTTACCTTTTTTCCTTGTGGGCTCCTCATCTTTTCTTTCCGTTCCACACCTGGCACATCTTTCTCAGGCTTATTGCTTCATCACTCTCCTTTCTCTCCCTACCCCTTTTCTGGTCCCTTTACCCCTGCACTTCCCTGCCTCTTTACCTTATTTGGATTTGGAGGGTCGCATGCCTCGTGACATTGCTTGTGCACAGACTTGGGAACAATACCGGACATCAGCTGTCGTCTTTGAGGCATTCCGTCTCACTACTTATGGTTCCCCTTTCCACTGGTGGCTCTTAAATTTCCTTTCCACCTTCCACCACCTCTGCTGATTTCTGAGCCTTTGCCTCTTGTCAAACCTGTCTACTGTATCCATCCCACTGTTCTTGCAACTGCCCTAGTTTGGAAAATCAGTCTCCAATGGGCCCCTTGTCATGTGGGCATTCAGGTTAATGAATAGTGAGGTTAACTGAACTGTCTTCCTTGCCCATTCCCTCCCAGCCATCATTCATCTTCCTATTAACCAGGGAAATGTTTGCATATGGAGGGAAATCAGTCATAAGTGGAAGGGTAGCCTGTCTGTTTCCTTTCATTCCTTTGCATTGGTCCTTTGAGGAGTCCCTGTCCTTGAGTGCAGCATCATTCCAAGGCACTTGATGTGGCCCTGATATGTGATCATATGGGCCACTCCAGACAGAAGTCCCATCTCCATATGGTTACCTTCCCTGCCTGTAGGTGGTTGAGCATTGAATTTCTCTACCCTGGTCCCACTCTGCTCACACTTATCTCTGCAAGTCCCTTTGCCATTTGGAAGCAAGTCAACTGTTATTACATCTTCTGGATGGGGCTGATTATGATCATCCTATGATTGTCCCTCACCTACACCTTCCTCAATGCTTGGAGAGCCTTAGTGGTGACTTACACACTCTGCTGACTCCTTGCCTACATCTCTGACTGGGATCCCCTGGGCTTTTTCCATGAAGGAGACCTCACTAATCTCCAGGGGCCAGGAGGTAGTTCTCACTACAACAATAACAGTATTCTACAATGTTCCATGAACTAAGAACTTAACTAACAACTTAATTCACACTCTGAGAAGAAACTTAAGATAATTGGTCCATCTGGATTCTTATCATGTAGCAGCTGAGTAAGAAAAGCAGAGAAGACCATAAGACAGGACAGAA